AGTAGGGTCAGCGCAGGCCAACCCAGGAACGGCTTTGGGAGTGACTGACTCAGGAGGGGCAGCAGCTGCTTCCAGAGCTCTTGGCCCACAGACAGTATGGGGCTCAGAAGGAGACGACAGCGGTCTCTGCTAGCGCTGAGGCAGCACACTGTTGCTTTGCCCATGTTGGATCTGGGTCGCAATCCTGGGGGGGCAGTCCCCGGGCGAGGAGGAGCACTAGCACCAGAGCTTGCTGCTACAGTGCAGCAGGGACCCTTGTTATGGTTCCAGGGCAGAAAAGAGCCCTTGTGGTTACTCACAGACCAGAGCACAGGCTAGGAGAGAAGGAAACGCCTCTCCTTAGATCATAGCACCTTGAGAGAACCGAAAACTTACAACTCCCTGGGAGCATCTCTGAAAACAGCTGCACAGACCCCCGAAGCTTGGGACAGTGTGCCCTCCACCCTGGTAGCAGAGCCCCACTTGAACAAAGAGTTACAAAGTCAAGAAATAGGCTGGGAAAATGAGCAAACAACAGAAAAAAATTCCGACCATAGAAAGTTACTATGGTGACAAGGAAGATCAAAACACACTCTGAAGAGGACAACAGAGTCAAAGCTCCTACACCCAAAGCCTCCAGGAAGAAGATGAATCAGTCCCGGGCCTTGGAAGAGCTCACAAAGGATTTTGAGAAGCAAGTAAGAGAAGCAGAGGAAAAACTGGGAAGAGAAATGAGAGTGATGCAAGAAAATCATGAACAGTGGATCAACAGTTTGGTAAAGGCACAAAAAAAAAAAAAATACTGAAGAAAATAACACCTTAAAAAGCAGAATTGGCCAAATGGAAAAGGAAGGTGGCACAGTAGGTAGAGCATCAGCCCTGGAGTCAGGAGGATCTGAGTTCAAATGCGATCTCATTGCCTAGCCAAAAAAAAAAAAAATTAGAATGCAGCAAATGGAAGCTAATGACTTTATGAGAAATCAAAACAATGTGAAATATCTCATTGAAAAAACAGCTGGGGGCAGCTAGGTGGCACAGTAGATAGAGCACCAGCCCTGGATTCAGGAGGAAATGAGTTGAAATCTGGCCTCAGACACATAACACCTACTAGCTGTGTGACCCTGGGCAAGTCACTTAACCCCATTGCCTAACCAAAAAAAAAGAAAGAAAAGAAAAAAAAAGAAAAAACAACTGACCTGGAAAATAAATCCAGGAGAGATAATTTTAAAAATTATTGGATTACCTGAAGGCCATGATCAAAAAAAGAGTCTAGACATTATCTTTCAAGGAATCATCAAGAAAAACTGCCCTGGGGCAGCTAGATGGTGCAGTAGGTAGAGCACTGGCCCTGGGGTCAGGAGGACCTGAGTTCAAATTCGGCCTCAGACACACAATACTCACTAGCTGTGTGACTCTGGGCAAGTCACTTAATCCCAGTTGCCACACACACAGACACACACACAAAACCAAAACCCTGTCCTGATAGCCTAGAATCAGAGAGTAAAATAGAAATTGAAAGAATCCACCGATCACCTCCTAAAGGAGATTTTTAAATGAAAACTCCCAGGAATATTATAGCCAAATTCCAGAGCTCCTAGCTCAAGAAGAGAATATTGCAAGCAGCTAGAAAGAAACAATTTAAATATCATGAAACTAGAGTCAGGATAACACAAAATTTAGCAGTTTCTACATCAACGTATCAGAGGGCTTGGAACAGAAATATTCCAGAGGGCAAAGGAGCTAGGATTACAAGCAAGAATCACCTTCCCAGCAAAACTCAGTATAATCCCTTCAGGGGCAAAAATGGACATTCAATGAAATGAAAGACTTTCAAGCATTCTTTTTTTTTTTTTTTCTTTTTAGGCAATTGGGGTTAAGTGACTTGCCCAGGGTCACATAGCTAGTAAGTGTCAAGTGCTTGGTCTGAGGCCGGATTTGAACTCAGGTCCTCCTGACTTCAGGACCGGTGCTCTAAACACTGCGCCACCTAGCTGCCCCTTCAAGCATTCTTGATGAAAAGACCAGAGCTAAATAGCAAATGTGACTTTCAAATACAAGACTCAAGAGAAACATAAAAAGGTAAACAGGAAAGGGAAATCATAAGGGACTTAATCAGGTTAAATTGTTTACAGTCTTACATAGGAAGATGATACTTGTAACTCATAAAAACTTTCTTATTATTAGGGCAGTTAGAAGGAGTAATATATAGACAGAGGGCATGGGTGTGAGTTGAATATGAAGAGACAATATCTAAAAAAATAAAATTAAGGGATGAGAGATATTTACTGGGAGAAAGGGAAAGGGAGGTAGAATGGAGTAAATTATCTCACATAAAAGAGACAAGAAAAAGCTTTTACAGTGGAGAGGAAGATGGGGGAGGTGAGGGGGAGTGAGCAAACCTTACTGTCATCAGAATTGGCTCAAAGAGGGAATAACATACACACTCAATTGGGTATAGAAATCTATCTTACCCTATAGGAAAACAGGAGGGGAAGGGGATAAGAGAAGGGGGGGAGGGTGATAGGAGGGAGGACAGATTGGGAGAGGGAGTAGCCAGAAGCAAAACATTTTTAAGGAGGGACAGGGTGAAAAGAGAGAGGGAATAGAATAAATGGGGAGGGGGGAAGGGGAATAGGATGGAGAGAATAGAATAAATGGGGAGGGGGGAAGGGGAATAGGATGGAGGGAAATGCAATTAGCGATCATAAGTGAAAAACATTTTGAAGCAAATTTCTCTGATAAAGACTTCATTTCTCAAATATAGAGAACCGAGTCAATTTTATAAAAATAAGAGCCATTCCCCAATTGATAAATGATCAAAAGATATGAACAGTTTTCAGATGAAGTACTCAAAGCTATCTGCAGTCGTATGAAAAAATGCTGTAACTATTGATTGGAGAAATGCAAATTAAAACAATTCTGAGGTGCTATCTCATACCTGTTAGATTGGCTAATGGGGCAGAAAAGGAAAGTGACAGATGTTGGAGGGGATGTAGGAAAAATGAGATATTAATGCATTGTCTGTGGAGTTGTAAACTGATTCAACCATTCTGTAGAGCAATTTGGAACTATGCCGAAAGGGTTATAAAACCATGCATACCCTTTGACCTAGCAACACTGCTACTAGATCTATATCCAAAAAGAAATAAAAAACAAAAAGGAAAAGGACTGATACGTACAAAAATATCTCTAGCAGCTCTTTCTGTGGTGGCAAAGGATTGAAAATTGAGGAGATGCTTATCAACTGGGGAATGGCTTAACAAATTGTGGTATGCAATTACGATGGAATACTATTATGCTAAAAGAAATGATAAGCAGGATGCTCTCAGAAAAACCTGGAAAGAATTACGTGAGCTGATGCAAAGTGAAATGTACTGTGTACAAAGGAACAGCAATATTGTAAGATGATCAGCTGTGAATGACTTAGCTATTCTCAGCAATATAACAATCCAAGACAACTCTGAAGGACTTAGGATGAAAAATGTTATCCATCCCCAGAGAAAGAACTGATGGTCTCTGGATACAGATTGAAGCGTACTTTTTTAATTTTATTTTTCTTGAGGTTTTTTTTTTTGTCTATGTTTTCATTCATAACATGACTAATATGGAAATGTCTTGCACATGTATAACCTATAACGAATTGCTTGCTTTCTCAGTGGGGGAGGGGAGAGAGGAAGGGAGAGAACTTGGAACTCAAAGTTTTAAAAACGAATATTAAAAATTGTTTTTACATGTAATTGGGGAAAAATAAAATACTAAATAATTTTTTAAAAGAAATACAGTTATCACAGTGGGATTTTTTTTTTAAAGAAATCCACAGACCTCAGGTTAAGAAACACTGGTATAGTGGAGATGGATTCAAATTCCAGCCTTGATTGTATGTGAACCTAAGCAAGTCATTTCTACCTTCTCTGGGCCTCAGTTTCCTTATCTGTAAAATAGGAGGGTTCAGGGCAGCTAGGTAGTGCAGTGGATAGAGCACCAGTCCTGGAGTTAAGAGGACCTGAGTTCAAATTTGGCCTCAGACGTTTGACACTTATTAGCTGTGTGACCCTAGGCAAGTCACTTAAACCCATTGTCTAGCAAAACAAAACAAAACAACCAAAAAAAAAGGACGGTTGACCTAGAAGGCCTCCGAGGTCTTCTCCCAACTCCAGAACTGTGTGATTTATGATGAAGTCACCTACCCTCCATGGGCCTCTGTAAAAGGGAGATAATATCCTTCCTTACAGGGTTCTTGTAAGGATTAAATGAGATCATGCATATAAAATGCTTGTCCAGTGTGACATGCTATGTGAGTAGTACTTCTGTGCTATGTTTCCTCAATAGGTCTTCATAATGTTGGAATTAATTTTAATTCAATTCTGCCTTTGTGCCAGGGCTGAGCTAGGCCACTAGCCCTTGTCCACAAAGAGCTTACATTCTGCAGGAAGGATACATAAAATAAGGGCAGGGAAGGACAGAGACCCTCCTTCCAACTTACCAACCAGGCAGTCTTTTGCCCTTTGGGTGGAGCCCTGTCAAGCAAATGTAGGGGAGGACAGGAGCCCCACAAGGATGGGCGGGTATGTTTTGGCAGAACACGGCTCAGTGCCTGGCGAGTAGTCAGCAATTAATAAAGGTTTGCTGATGAATTGATTGATGGGTTGGCAATCTGCAGCCCTGGAGGGAACACACAAATCTATTTGGTGAATGCCTGAAAAAAGCATTTATTAAGCACTTGCTATGTGCTAAGCATTAGGGATGCAGATGTTTTTTAAAAAGGGAGACAGCCTCTGGCCTTTAAGGGCTGGCATTCTCCTAGGGGAAGACCACAAAGGCCCTTCAGGGTGGGATGACTCAAGCAGGGAGGTTGGGGGGTCATGCCCACAGATCAGATTCCTGTCCACTTAGAGAGTGCCTCTGGCCATCCTTTACCGATAGAACCTCCCTGCTTACACGTAGTTCCACCCCAAAGTCCAAAGCCTCCCTCCAACAACCAAGGGAGATGTCAGAAGTCTATGCTTTGTTGTCCCTTCCAGGGCATTTCGTCTCGGCCCCTGCCTCTTCTCTGTAATAGCAGCAGTGATGGTGTGGACGCTCCTGGCCAGTACAGCATGAACTTCAGCCAGGCGATCAGTCACGACGTAAGCCTCCGTGAGGCCATGTTGTCATGCCCGGACGCATCCAGACAAGACCCAACAGCCGGGCATCCGCAGACCCAGGATGCATTCTTACCACTGAATTCCAGCAATGCCCTTCCTCTTCCAGGGATGGACTGGGCAGGCTTTTCTCCATCGACGGAGAGTAGGACTAGGAACCTAACAGCCCAAGACCTTCTCTTGGACCTTGATGAAAACGTATTTGATGAGATAAATTTAATATCTTTTGCCACGGAGGAGGGCTTTGACCCGATGGAGGTTTCCCAGCTCTTTGAAGAACCAGATTCTGATTCTGGACTTTCCTTAAATTCCAGCCACAGCAGCACATCCGTGACCAATCTTAACTCATCAGCTTCCCTGTGTGATGATGAAGGTGCCGTGGGTTACAGTAGTGATGCTGAATCTCTCTCTCACCGGGGGCTAGAGGGAGCTGTCGGAGGTCACTGGCTAGAGAGCAGTGAGCTGTGCTGTATGTCGGATTCAGATCTTTCCGGAGAACCTACATTGGAACATATTCTTCACAACCACACTTACTACCTACTGCCAAGCCCACCATCCTCTGAACCTCTCCTTCCATGGGCCCAAAAGTCCCACACTGTAAAAAGGAACAGCAACCTTAATGACCAGGACACCGCCCTGGGCCAGGACAAACCCCACACCAAAACCCTGTGCCTTCCCTTCTCGGTGGATGAAATTGTCAGCATGCCTGTTGACTCCTTCAACAGCGTGTTAGCCAAGAGCTTCCTGACAGATACACAAGTGTCCCTGCTCCGGGACATTCGCAGAAGAGGCAAAAATAGAGTCGCTGCCCAGAACTGCCGCAAACGCAAACTGGATGTGATGCTGAGCCTGGAGGAGGATGTATGCAGCCTTCAAGCCCAAAGGGAGAGCCTTACACTGGAGAGGGCCCAGTATAGTAAGTCGCTGCACCTCATGAAACAGAAGCTACACAACCTTTATCGGGATGTTTTCAGTAGGTTAAGGGATGACCAGGGCAGGCCTGTCAACCCCAACCTGTACGCGCTTCATTGTGGCCAGGATGGCAGTGTTTTAATTGTGCCCAAAGAACTGACTTCCAGTCTTAAAAAAGACAATCAAAAGGAAAAGGAGAGAAAATGAGGGGAGGGATTCTATAAACTGGACCTCTCTGGAGGGAAGGTTACATTGGTGAAGGCCGCCTGGGGAAATGGGGTCACATTAACAATTGAAATGGAATTGTGAACATGCTGAATCTTGGTGACTTCTAATTCGGCACAGTTTAGGCTACTGCTGTCCAGAGGTGCTCATTCCTGAATGATCAAATTAACATTTAACTGACCCAAAAACCCAAGCAAAGTTCTTCAAGTTCAGTTCACGGGGAGGTATTGCTTATTGGGGGCAGCCATGCTTTTCAGCAAGTCTTCATTCGGTAGGTACCATACTACCCCTCCCAAAAGAGGTGATAGACCACAATTTCTCAGTCAGAAGAAGGATGTGAAAGCCCGGGACAAACTCTTGGGTAGTGGCCACGTTTTGTAGTAAGATGGTCACTTTCAAGGCAAAAAAAAAAAATCCTTTGTTAGAAAAAGATTCCATATTTTCATATGGAGTAGCCTCTTAAAATTCAAAGTGATCTTTTGTTCTTATTGAGTTCTAACTCTTTGTGAGTCAAAACTATTTGGGCTTTTCTTGGCAAAGGTAGTGGAGTGGTTTGCCATTTCCTTCTCCAGCTCATTTTGTAGACAAGGAAACTGAGGCAAACAGGGTGAAGTGACTTGTCCAGGGGCACACAACTAGGAAGTGTCTGAGGCTGGATTTGAACTCAGGTCTTGACTCCAGGCCCAGCTGCCTCAAAGTGACCTCAGTTTTTCAGATTTTTTTTTTACCATTTAGTTAGCACTGGAGCCCAGTTCAGAGTCTGGCTTTTCCAAAGCAACTTTCAGTTAAAATTTTTGTGAATACTTAATTTATGTATTTTTCTTGCTATGAAAATAAATTATGTATTTGTAGAAAACTAGCTTCCCCCTCCCTTTTTTTTTCCCCTGAATATGTCCTGGTGGCTATTCAGACTTTTAATCTAATATATCTATACTGAAATGTTAAACAAACTGGCATTGCTGACTCATTGTTACTTTTATTTACTACAACTTCTCTTAGGCCTGCTCTGGAAACAGGTATAATTTTCAGATCTCTAAGGTGCTTAATTATCAACCAATGGCTTTTTTTTTCCTGAACACCTTACCTGATTTTTCCCTGCTCTGAAAGAAAAATTATCCAGTCAGTACTCTAACAGTCTTTAGTGTAAGATTTTATTTGGAAACTCCTTTTTGAACACTGAATTTTCAATTTAAACCCAGGACTTTTCAAAACCAAAAGAATTTGCTTATATAATTTATTTAGGATGAAATAGAAAAAAATGAAAAAAAAAATCAACCCAACTAGATTACCCACCTTTAAATGATAGAAAATCCTTATTTTCAAAGTTTTACTATATAGATGCCACCTTCAAAACTTTTTACCACATGCCTGTTTCTTTAAACTGTTTTGTTTTGAATTAAGTAGTTCCTTCCATAAGGAACAGGGGGAGTTTAGAAGTATGCTGCCGAATGTTGAAAGTGTAACTGTTAAGTATGAGTGGGTCTGTTTTAGAAACACTTAAGGAGAGATGATCAGGAGGACCACCATGAGGGAGCACAAGGCTAGTGTGAAACAGTTGTGAAACCCTGCACCCAATGAGTCTTTTGGGACTGCCTCCCTTTCACCCAATGGAAAGGCCAAGATGCCAAGATGAATTGTACTTTTCTTAACAGAATAAAACATGTAGTGATTTTTATGTCGTTTTTCCCATGGACGTTCATGAAATTGTCAGACCCCAGATTGTCCAGTCCAGCACTTGCCGTAAAGCCCACCCTGGCCTTGCTGTGGAAGGCCTGCAAACAGAATCTTGCTTCACAGACTCTGCCATGACGGCCTGCGCTCAATAGGACTGTGTGCTGGGTTTGTTTAAAATAAAGTGGCTTCTCCTCACAGACATATCTATCCTTGATCCAGGGATCCTATCAAGAAATGTTCCTGAGGTTGTGTTAAGCCAGGGTTTCTTTCTTCAGAAGCGGTCTACCCCTTCATGAACTGATGAATTTTGGCTGGCTTCCTCCCACCTTCTCCTTTGAAAAAGAACTCATCAGACTTGGGGTCACTCAAGTGTGGACTAGAGATTTAGAATGTAACAAATATTAACCAGCAGGAAATTAGAAGTTCCTTGAATGAAGGCTTAGATACAAATTGACAAAATAGTAAAGGACTTTACGTACAACAGGAAAATCGCCAAGTCCAGCGAACACGAACTAAAAATCTGTAGGGTATACAGGTCATTGTGGTAGCCTGGGAGTCCGTAGTTATGGGCTCTAGCTCCTTCGGGACTCAGGGTCCTACCCAGTCTGATCCGTAGTCCAACAGTGTCCTTCATGGACTGGATCTACCCTCAGCATCTCACGCAAGTACACCTACATCAGTCCCTCTTGCCTGAGGCTGGGCTCCAATTCCACTTAGACTGGAATCCAAACGCATTCAAATTTACTCTTGAACCCTTACACTGAAGCAGCACTTGCAAATCTCCATCCTTTGGGAGTGTCCAAGCTTTCAGTAACCTGAGGCCATCAGAACCAGTCTTCCTGCCTCCTCCTTCGGCAGCATCCTAAGTCTTCCTAGGTGCCTATGTCCTCCTAATTTCATCTCAATGGCACCTTCTGCAGACCCCCCAGTTCCTGCTAGAAAAAAGCATTCAAGGAAAAATGCAATTTTCCAACTATGGCTTGGACACTGAAATTACACAGCAGCAGGTGTTTTCAGTCATGCTGGAACCCTCTTGGCAATGCTTCTAGAGTGGTTCCATTTCCTTCTCCAGCTCACTCTACAGATGGTGACTTGCTCAGGGTCAAACAACTAGCACTTACTTTAAGCTAATTATCTAAGGCCAAACGAGTCTCCCTGCCTCTAGGCCCTGCATTCTATCCCCAGAGCTTTGGCATGACAGGAGCACTTACGTGAGAGGTTCTATTAAAAGAAAAATGGGCCAGTTCTTGGTTATTTTGGCATCAATCCATTTGTAGAAAAAGTTTGATCATTTCAAAGGACAGTTTGCTTCTGTCCATAACAATTCAGGCACGTGGTATTAAATGGTAATTTAAGAATACCACTACCACTCTTTGCCTAGACACTGAACAAAGCTAAGTAAGCCAGGCAGCGCATGACTGTTCAGCATGGAACACCATTAAGAGGCTAACCTTTATCGAGTCCTCTCAACACGGGCACTCTATTTTTGGGGACTAAGGACCACCGCCAACTCTTTCAAGTTCTTAGGAAGTTACTTTTTAATAGTATAACCTTGTTGGAGGGCTCTTTGAAACCCAGGTCCACATTGATCATTTGCAAGCCTCTCTTTTCCCATCTGCAGGACAGTCCAAATATTGGAATGAAGTTGGGCAGGCAACCCTGTCAGTGCCCCATCCCAATTTACCTTCAGTTCCTGAGACATACCCATGCAATTAAAGGTGGGTGGGGCAAGCTTTTAGGGTAAGACAGCAAACCCAAGGTAAAGACTGTTACATTACATTGTAGATCGCTGCTAATGCATAGAGCAGGAAGCTGGATCCCAGCTCCTAAAAAGCCATTTACAATTAAGTTTCTTCAGAAGTAGGCATTACCACTAAGCTCTTGAGATCAGGCCAGTCCAGGCGCATTATTTAAACCCTTTAGCATGTGGCTTTTCCACATAGAGAAACCAATTGGTTCTGAAATCTGTTGTTAAGAGACTACAGTAATGGTCACCTTGTCCAATGTCTTGGCCCCACCCCTAGGGCAGCTGAATCTGAATTGCACAAACAAACAGGGTTCTCTCTCATTTAGAATAGCCAAGATGTCCTTTCTGGGCACACCTGGATAAAGCTAATATTACACAGTAATTACCGTTCTGAATATCTTTAGAAACATTTGGCAGTATTTCAATCAGCAAAAAACCCCAGAAAACTCCTTTGCCCCAGCCTAATTAGCATTTTTCCATTTTAACAACTCTTGAGATCTGCCTTCTTTAAAAAAAATTCCCCAAGACACAAAAACCCCACGTAAACAAAAGCAAATTCTGTTTTTGAGCCATCACGAATTGTAAACAAAACTCACATGCCACTTGAGCATGTTAAGACCAGTATTTCAAGTGTTTATCTTCCAGAATATAAAGTTCATTTGCTTTATTTGGGCAAAAGCAATTTTTTTTTAATCAAACATTCCATCACATGCATCAACATAACTGTAAAGAGACAGAAGTCATCTTGGGCAGTATTTTCTCCTCCTCCTCGGATATCGACTTTTTAAAAGGGTTATTTCATTAAGCCCTATTTTCAGATACCATCATCCACCTAGTCACGTGGTTCCACATACTCCAACCCTCACAAGTACTCTGTTCACGTCCGCTTTCTCCAACCCTTTGGAGGACTGCCTCCACCACCAGGACACCACCACCACCACCACCCACCCCACAAATTTTCCTTCCTGTAAAGCAAGATTCAATGTACTTGTGCCATGGACCCTGCATTCAGCCCTGGGGATGTCATTTCTAGCCATGACCACAAGCAGAGATTCAACCCAGTCAAGTGGTCATCTGTGAGAAATACCTCACACCTGTACACCTTTGTTATACCACTTAAAATCACTTTTGGGGGGGGGGGGTTTGAGAGCATCGTTGTTCAAGGAAGTGCAACATTCTGCAAGTACAATCTAATTACAACATCCAGGTATTTAAATTTGTAGTGATTCACAATGTTGTGTTTCAAGGTTTTAAAGGAGCATTTTTTCCCTGAAAAGTTAATAAAATTTGCCATCTAACATTAAGAAAGCCAGGTAAACAGAAAAACTCATGATTATAAAAATATAGTAAAAAATACAAGGGCAGTTAATTCAAGCAAAACAGAACCCACATTCTTGTCAAGTGTGCAGGTTTTAAATGAAGACTTAAGCAGTAGCAGTATTTCTTTTAGACAGCTACAAGCCTATGAAATAAAAAAAATGCACACATTGTGTGTGTAATCATCACACAAAGTACTTGGATACAAAAATGTTTATTTTAAAAACTTTTAAAAAAAGATCAGTTTTGTCTGTTCACAAAACCGTTTTTAAAAACACCATACAATTTTAATGCTGGCTAGTAAGCTGAAATTTTTGATTACAGACAATTCTCATCACCATAATTTGAACTGATCATTTTGTATCATCATCCAAATACATTTCCCTTTCAACTAAAAGTGCTTTTAAAAATGGAGGCACCAACAAGAAATATATTCAGATGGTACAGAATTTCTTATTTCTCGAAGACATTCTGTGGTTGACCACTTCTTCATTAGTTACCTGCAGCAAGACACATTCCTGCCAAAGAAAAAAGAAGTATCTGAAGAGGTTTATCAATGTGTGCTCCAAAGTAGCTATCAATCATTTCAGTGGTGGTCGTAAAGTTTTAGAAGATTGACTGGTGAGAACCTAGCAATCTCTTGATGGTCATATCCCACCCCAGGCAATAAAGCCTAGTGTCGAATTGCAGAAAGATACAACTTTCAGTTTTTACAAGTAACCAACTTAGAGGTCCTGTAGGCTTATAAATGGAAATCACCTACACAGTCTACTTTTACAGTGGTACTGGAGAAAAATGAACATCTGCCATAGGTTAATTCAATGGAATTTTGCTGCTTGGGATATGGGGAAAGACATGATTTATGTATAATACATATATATTCTAAGACATTATATGTAACTAGAAAACTATGCATCTGGTTATTAGAGAAGAAAAAAAAAACTGCTCTAGTATGTTGTCCTCAAAGAGATCTCTTATTGTTGCCTTGAGTATCCGAGTCAAGATGGGTATCACAGTTTATTGAATTTTTTTGAAGTCTACCTTTTTGCTCAACACCACTGAAGGAACCCCAAGAAAAGCTTTATTTAATGATCACCTGCTTGCCTCAGTTGTTGAAAGGTAGCACTTTACAGTCCCTGTGGCAGCAGATTATGCTTGTCCTTGGTTCATATCAATGCTAAATTCCAGCAGGGAAAAAAATGATATGTTAAAGTACCAGAATCTTCATCACGAAGAGGAAAAAAAAAATAAAAAAAATAAATAAAAATAAATGCCCTCCCAAAAAAGCCAAAAAGCCCCCAAATGTCAATTTAATATATTGGAAAACAGGATTCACAAAATTATTTGAGTTGAAATGGTTAACTCAATTTATTGCTATGTTAAACTACATATAAATAATCACTATACTGACATAGTAGACTGTCATATAGTATTAGTTTATCTTTTTTTTTTTTGAACAATTAAGAAAGGAAAAGTAAATAAGATCTTACCTAAAGCAGTTTAACTGAAGCTTAGAACTATTTTTCTCTACACACCCTCAGCTTTCGATGGCATCCTTCTAAAACTACGGCAGTTAAAAGTTTTGTAGAAACACAGCCCAGTTTTTTAAGACCGGCTGATTTTAGTAGCCGTCAAGAGTTCTCTTGTACTAGACCTGTGTCCCTGGAAGAGTACCTCGCTGGGGATATCTCCTTGCATTGAAGCAGCAGCATCTAAAAGATCTAAAAAGGTGTTTCTCTTTGCAGAGATATCCCTTCAGTTATCTAGATACTTTATCCTGATGAATTGCAGACAACACACTTTTCTGATCAGCATTTCAATTTACATATGTAACAATAACTTAGCAATGGACTTAATTATATACTACCCCCTCCTTAACTTTAAAATAAAAAGTCTATAATTACACAATTTCCTTTAGAATTATTTTATTAAATCATAAATGTACAACAGCTTCTTAACTCTACACACGCACTTAAATTTTTTAAAGGAAAACGTTATGTCTTATTACACCATGATCCTGGCTAATAGCTTTTCAAAACTTTGAGAAAAATCTTAAAAAAGAAGGTTTCACATGTCACCTGAAACTTACAAATTTAACATTATCAAAGAAGGAATGCTTCTACACTCTTACAAAGACCACTAGAAAGAAACAACAATTAAAAAGCTAAGAAACTGTCTCAAAGGCATTTTTTTGTGTTTTTTGTGTTTTTTACAATCCTTCCTCCACAGTAAGGTAATGTTATTAAATAATCCAATCCATTCACAAAATGGCTCTCTGCATCTGCTCTGGTGTCTTCTGCCATATCACTGCATATTTATGCATGACTGAGATAAGAGTTTCCTTAACATTGTTATTTCGATAACCTGAAGCTGTTCTGTTACCTCTGGGCTCTCATCCTCTCCTATTTATACAGTGAAGCCTGTTTCAACAGAAGTAAAGAGTAAAAAAAAAATAGGTTATGAAATTATCCATCTAACCAGTTTTTAAAGGAAAGATAACATGAGCCTAAAAAGCTTTTACTCCTGCATCTAGGTCTCCCAAGAGAAATAGCAATTGTAGTACTCTCATAAAAAGCCACTTACCCATGGCCAACAGGCAGAAAAGCTCAATAGCGGCTCCTCCCTCCATAACCCCCACTTCCTCCACTGCCTCCAGGACCATAGTTCCCTAAAATATTAAGAAAGAAAGAAAAAGTAAGTTTTATCATCAACAAGTCGTATTTGCCAAGATTTGTAGGACAAATAACATTTTAACTTCACACAAGTTAAAATTTCTAAAAAGCCACTTCCCAACAACTCATTACATTTACCCATGAAAATTCTTAAAAGGAACCTTTACACACATGTATCAATGGGGATTCTCCATAAAATGTAACCATCATCTGCTATAAATAGCCAGGGTTTCAAGTGTTTAAGAAGTTCAGATTTTTATTTTTAACTTTTTTTAACCTGACAGCCATTTTCTGAGTGTCATGCCAACAAGTTAAGAGTGGGGAAACTCCCTCTGTTCAGAGGTCCCAACCCTTTAAAAACTCATCAGAAACACTCCTAAGCCATTACTTGGGCCATGAACTAGCCAGCAGGATTAATTAAAGCCCAGGATTCTATCTGGTCTCTGCTGTGCTACTTTTTTATTTATAAAACCATCAGCCCAATTTTCATGTTAGGTCGCTGGTAGTTTTACAATTCTGGGTGAGTGAACTCAGTTCAAGTTCCTTTTTCAAACTGGAGACACTCACTAAGAAGAGTGAGGAAAAACAGATCACACTTAGCTATATTAATAGCCTGCAAGTTACACTTCCATTTTAAAAGGCTAACGATTCACATCATTTCATGCCACAAAACTGTCTGGTCACAAGAACCAGGGAGGTCCTAGCAGAGAGGTCAATTAGAGTTACGTTCAGTACCTCCACCATATGGTCCCCCCATGTTCCTGCTACCACCGAAGTTTCCACTCTTCATCGGACCGTAGTTTGAAGGCTGCTGGTTATAGTTTCCAAAGTCGTTGTAGTTCCCGCTTCCGTAATTGCCTGTTAAACGTCAGAGATGATTAAAATTACAGCAGCCACGTATGAGTAGATATTAACATTAAAACATATACTACACAAATGTAAATATTTATGAGATAAACCTCAAAAAATTACTACAACAGAAGGAAGGCCTCCCTACACTTTTAAAGAGACAGTGTTAAATTCCAAGTTCACATTCTCCCCACAAAAGTGTTCACATGAATTCATTACCTCCTCCATAGTTGTCATAACCACCTCCGTAGCCCCCACCCTGGTTGCCATAGCCAGGTCCTCCACCACCATATCCTCCTCTTCCTCCTCCATAACCAGGACTACCTCCAAAATTGCCACCTATTATAAAATAAGCCTTTCAGTAATTGCTTAATATCTTCAAAGTCAGAGAACTGTTCAATCTCAGGAAGCATACCGATCTACAACAAAGTGCTATGAGGGTTTTCTAGTGAACTTTTGCAATCAGAAAATGTTACTCTACGTTCTGTTATCTATGCTCTTGCACGTAATACACGCCTAAGAAATTTTCCCTCGCCCTCCAAACAGAGCAGAAATTATCGTCCCTGTCTTGGACAGCAACTCAGCTAGCAGAAAATTTCCTGGAGAATAGACATGGTTTTTCCCAAAATAAAGGGTTAAAAAGGGGTGGGGGTGGGAGTGGGCTGGCACTGGCTCCTGGTTAGTACAATTCCTCTTCCACTCAGCTCTGGATTTCTGCCCCATTTTCTTGCTAGATATTGTCCATCTGAGAAGCAGTAAGTTATATCTAGACTCCAACTACATCATTTTTTTACTCTCTCAAATCTTAAGTATGTCATTCTCCAGAACAATCTGGAGCCTCTACATCCTTTAACAGTAAGGACAATAGGGAAAAGATCGAAAGACATCTCTGTAATACCAAAACATTTGTAAGAGCTCATAATCTGAACTGATTTTTAAACAGACATTGTGTAAAAATCAACTTTTTAGAATTAGGCCAAGATACAGCATTAGAAATACTCTAACAAGACCATTTTATACATTTACCTTGAAACCCTACAGTTTAAAAAAAAAAACACTCAAAACACTACATAGGGTAAAACCTTTCTATTTATTAGTAATCTGTTTAAATATAAAATGAGTGAGCTCAACGTTGCAGAAGAAAAAAATCACCTTCATTACTTTGTGGGACATTAATGCCACGGCAAATGACATAACATGTCTTAAAGGATTGAAATAAGTTTAACAGCTGCAATACAAGTTGGCTTGCTCTTTTCAAGGGCCATTTTTCATTACCTTTTTATCCTGAGTTCTGTCAAAGCAGCAGCTGTGCTCAGACTTCCTGTTCTACTTGGACACTTAGTAAAGCCAGTAGGCTCAGAGAGTACATCAAAATACTGAAGATAAGGAGCACACAATGTCCAACCAATGTCAGGTCATTTTTATTTTTTAAATCACAAGCTAAAATGATCTATTTAAGTTCTATTTACCGGGCTCTTTAAAAGTACCAGGAGGGTACATTTCAAATCCCTACAACAGAATACTTAGGTGGGAAAACAAAAAAAAACCAGTATGGGAAAGCCGGGTCAGAACATATCCTACCTATAAACCAATGTCACCTTTTAAAAAAACAAAACCAAGCTGAATACTAAACAGGTAGGCACAGCATAGAGAGGATTCCCCACCCACCCTAAACCACCATCTTAAAACTAACCTCCTGGTCCTCCTCCGTATCCATTGTAACCATCTCCAAATCCACGACCACTTCCATATCCATCTGTTGGGAGAAAAATGGAAGGTCAAGCACTCCAGGTGCTACGAAGTGCACTGGCTACTCACACCTGCTTACTAAACTTCTTTCCATACCCCCTTCTGCTCCCTAATTCCTATTTTAACACTTTTTTTAATCTTCTCAGGTCTATTCTAAATTTTCTAACTATGGAACTGACTTATGTTGCTTTTATCCCACTGAAGGCAACTCAAGATTTAGAATGTCTCCCAATTCATTTTAAATATTTCTGTCCTCTTAGAATCGAGTTTTTGAAAGTTCTAACAATGTGCCTTAGATCTCAGTAGACTATTTACCCCTCATTCATTTCAATAGCTGCGGGGCTGAAAGGGCACTTTGCAGGTCCAAGTAAAAGACTAGGTGACAACCTGAAGGCCATAGGTAATAATTACACATTGGGGTGATGGGACTGGTCATGACTAGCCATTACTACAAATTCTGGTTATAAGCACACCATTTAAAACAGGATTTTGTATTTTCAACCACTGAGTACTGAGAATGAGATGGGCAACATATTTAGACTGGCTGGAAGAAAAAGTGGAGTCAAATAAAAAAAATCAAAGACTTTTATTGAACAGTTTAGCCTGCTTGTATCTTAAGCAGTGTTACACCTGGACTTACCAGATCCCCCTCTAAAATTGCTTCCTGGGCCTGGTCCAAAATTTCCACCACCACCACGGGAATCCCCAAAACCAAAGTTTCCTGCAAATGATCGTTCACATTAGCACCAAGTTCACCACTTAGTTCAGCAGTTAATCTGATGAAATCAAGAGAGCCACGCTACCTCCTCTTCCACTCCTAGAACTCTGAACCTCCTGCATCTCTTGTCTAGACAAAGCTTTTCTTACTTCTGCATTATGGCCATTGATGGTGTGGTATTTTTGCACTGTAACACAAGTTCCAAAATGTGAGAATCAACCAGCATCCTGCATTTTTTTAATCATCTTTTTTTTTTAATTTGGAGAAAAGTTCAATGCTTTAAAAGGCAAAGGGCAACAAAGCAGAAATTTTCCAAAGACACTACATAGAAACAAGAGATGTAATTTACTTACATACAATTTTATCCACAGGATCATGGTCATCAAATGTAACAAAACCAAAGCCCCTTTTTTTACCAGACTGTCTATCTGTAATTATTTCGATAGTATCAATTTTCCCATATTCCTCAAAGTAATCTCTAAGGTGATGTTCCTCAGTGTCTTCTTTAATTCCACCAACAAACAGTTTCTTCACAGTAACATGAGCACCAGGTTTTCCAGATTCCTAAGAGATAGAGATATTTATACAAGACATTTTTTTTTTTGCAAACTAAACCAGACATTTCATATAAGGAACATGTGTTTCTTGCTACAAAACCAAAGTGGGTACTTTATGCCTTTTTGCACCCCTAACTCATGACACTGGACTATTTCAAAGATAATAAAATACAGAAGTTATGTGTGTATGCACGCACGCACAATCCTAACAGGACAGTCCAAAGCAATCTTCCTGAATTCAAAATCCAAAGAGTTTAGTGCCAGGACACATAGAATGTGTCAAAGTGGAGGGAAAAAAAAATACCAGCGCTGGGAAAGAAAGCTGGTGAAATTCTTAGACTCAGCCTCTGAAAACTTGGATCAAGGTTGCCATTGCAAACAATTAGATTCTCAGACAAATCCGCTTCTGCTCACCTCTCTGGCTACTGCTCTTTTCGGCTCAACCACTCTTCCATCAATTGAATGAGGTCTTGCAGACATGGCTGCGTCCACTTCAGCCATAGATGAAAATGTTACAAAACCAAATCCCCTTGATCTTTTGCTTGCAGGATCCCTCATAACCTATAAAGCAAGAAATTGGACTCTTATTACCCAGTAAACACAATGTGACAGCACATATTTAATATGGTGAAACCAAAATTTTGTTTTTAAGTTTGAGTTAGCAAGTAGGAATTTCAAAGACAATTTACCACACAGTCTGTGAGTTTCCCCCATTGTTCATAGTAGTTCCTCAAACTTTCTTCTGTTGTTTCAAAGCTTAGGCCTCCAATAAAGAGTTTACGGAACTGTTCCTTTTCTCTCTGCAAACAAAAACAGGAGAGTGCATTGGGATTCAGATTCATGTTCACATACACTTTATAAAGCTCCTAAATGCTTGTTTTCTACTTAAGCTTTTCTAATTCTACACATAAACATAAGACATTTATAGTTACAGGTATTGCCAAAATGTTTTGTTTTTTTGGGGGGTTTCTGGAGTGTTCAAAGTACCAGTACAGTAACCATCTCCTGTCTGCCCTCTAGTGATGGTTCCAATAAATCTCAAGATAGGCCAAGTATGCACCATAAATGATATGAAAAGGCCACCTTTTTCATTAAAGTTGCCGACCAGTTTCGGAGGAAAAAATAACCTTTACCATTTTTTCACAATTTTTTATTAGTGAAACTAAAAGCCTGATAATGGGCTGAAATGTTCTAGCTAGTTCCATTTGATGGGTGAAAAGAGTTTCAACAATTTACACAGGTGACTAGTACCTTCAAATTTTACTCTTAATATTACTCTCGAAAATTTAAGTCCCAGGAGCCCTAATCCACATCTTGAATTTATAGCGCTCTTTACAGCTTTCCAAAATATTGTCATCTCATTTGATGCTAACTAAACCACCCAAGCAAGATAAACTGCTATTATCACTATTTTACAGATGAAGAAATTGAGGCAGATCAAGCCTCAGGGGATTAAAAATTAAGTTGGCTACTGGAATTCAAGTGAACTGGAGCGAAATTCTGCTCTAGTAACAGATCTAATGCCTTAAAATGAATTCTCAAATACGAGAAGTTGTCTCTCATTGTGTGTATCCAAAACGCACATTCTACTTAAGTGCATAAGCGGATTTTTGCAATTTGAAGTAAACCATCAAGTAGGACTGCAGACAACGTTAAAATGCATCATTTATAACATCATACTTCAACTACAACCTCTCTCAAAGAGAAACATGTTTAATAGAAGGGAATAGTGCTTCACAAATCTCAAACTAGATCTTGATTGCTTAAAATAATTCAACATCAAATACTAATTCCTAACAAAGAAACTTCCTAGAATGTACTCGGATGAAACGTTTCCTTCATTCAGGTCTTCAAATAATCCAAGCAGTACAGCAAATTGCAATAAAGTGAAGCACAATTTAAAATAAAATGTTGAGACCTTGAATATAAAGGAAGGAAAGGGCATCTTTTAAAAAATAAAATTATCTAGGTTTATTGAGGCCAAATATCAATATTTAGCTCTTAAGCTTCTTTTCCAAGTTATTATATTCCAAGTCCAACTGCACAGATCAAGCTCATCTTAACTTCTGTTTTATTCTCATTTATCCAAAATCTCTACTTTCAGCTGCAAACCTCCTTAAAATTAGATTCTAATGCTTCAAATAAAATTTTGACGCTTCAAATACTCAAGTCATTTTCAATGGCAACTGATAGATTCAGAAATGCTAAGACTCAAAAGAAGGCCTGACTACCCGCCATCATTAGGGCATGGCCACGTGGTAGATACAGTAAAGAAAGAAGATGGAGAGGCCAGTTTCACCTTTTCTAGTGTGACCTTGGCCAAGAAGTTTTCTCATTTGCAAAGATAAATCTCTCGAGCTTGAGGTCAATGGGTTTACAGGATTATAGTGTGATCCCAGACTGGAGAAGGATTAAATACTAGAGCCTAGCAAGTAAAACAAATTATCTCGGAAAATAACATCCCTCGACTATTGGTTTTATAAAACTGTAATTGTGGACTAACGAGGCATGTGCCTACCTCATTTTGCATTAAGAAGCCTAAAAGGGGTGTTTTGTTCTGGGTTGCATCCACTAGTGACAGGACTGACTAAATTTAAGAATAAGCAGCCTCCTCTGCTGCCCCGCAAGCTCACGCTCCCTTTAAGACATTACTCTTGGGGGCCATAACACTTAACACTCACAACTAAGAACGAAACAAGTTTGTTACCTTCTCCCTCTTCCAAAAAAAAAAAAAAAAAAAAAAGATAATTTTCAAGCACCCATTCAAAAAATCTTAGAAAAGTGGCACAATAGACTTAAAATAAAAGTGTTTGCAGGTTAGAGGTTCGGACTTGGAATTACCCTGGGGACTGCCCGCTGGACTGGGCCCAAACACCCTTTACCGAATCATCACCCGATTGCACTAATTGATTTCTGGAGGTGGCTGTGGCCTCCCCCAGCCTTGCTCCGTCGCGCCTTTTGGCGTCCTGTCCCTCCTAACAGCTCCAACCGAACGCGCGGTCCCGGGGGAGCACGCGAGCGCCGCGCTCGCGCTCCCCCTCCCCCTCCTCTTCCTCCTGGAGAAGCGGGAGGACCCGGCCCCAGCCGCCCCACCCCCCCTTTGTACATTACCGAACACGTGGTCCAGCGCGGGAGGGAGGCGAGAAAGGAGGAGGGAGGGGGATGGGCCAGGATGGCGCAGCAACTTTTCCCGCTTGCCCTCCCCTCCCCCAGGCCCCAGCCCGGCCCGAGGCGCCCCACACTCACGCCGGGGTCCCTGGCGGCCGCCCTCCCTCCGCGCTCCGGGGGCGAGGGCGCCATTTGGCCGGGCCAAGATCGCCGCGGGGACGGGCGTGCGAGCGGACGGCTGGGACGCTGGGCCCGGGAGAGGCGGAAAGCACCCACGCCGGGCCTGAGCCCCGCGGCCGGACCAACAGCAGTGGCCGAAGAGGCTGCGACGCGAGCGACAGAGCTCAGGAAAATGGCGTCGCTAGCGCTGGGCGCGGCGTCGGGAGCGCGCCGCGGGGCCGCGCCTCCCCTCCCCTCCCCCACCCCGGCCGCCGCCGCCGCCCAAACGGCCGGGGCCAGCGCGGGAAACCGGCGGGCCGGGCCGGGCGGCGGACAAGCAGCGACCCCGGGCCCGGCTCGACCAGGACTCTAGGGCGGCCGGGCCCCAGGGGGGGAAAGCCGCCCCAAGTCCGGCCGCCCCTCCCCCACTTCCCCGCCGCGCGGAGGCAAATGGCGCCCGCGGCCCGGGGGGGGGGGGAGCGGGGGGCGCCAGCCCCCCCCGGGCCGGACCCGCCCCGGCCCCTAACGCGGCCCCCCCCCCACACCCCTTCCCCCGGGGTCTGTCTCACCTCCATGGCGGCGTCGGTCGCCTCAAACCGGGGCCCCGCAGCCGAGCGAGATGAGAAGGATCTCCGCGGACGGGCGCGAACCGGACTCGTCCTGGCGCCGGTGGGGGGCTGCCGTGCCACGGCCCGGGAAACTACACCGCCGCCGGGCGCTGGGCGCAGAGTCCGAGGCAGGGAGCGAGGGCGAGGGCGACCGCAGAGGAGGGTGACGAGCGAGAGGAGCAGGCGGAGGCTGCGAGTCTGGCTGCGGCTGCTGCTGCGACTGCTGCTGTCGCTCGTGCGGCTGCCTCTTTTCTAGAACCTTCCCTCCGACCAACGCGTCTTCCCCCTCCGCCTACGTCAGTGCGGCTGCGCAGACGCAGTAACGGCCGCCAACGGCACGGACAGGCTACGCTCGCCTTACGCCAACTGCGTACCCCGCCCCCGCAGGGCGGTGCCTGGCGCCATTGGCGTCCACGCGGCCTGGGGCCGGGCGCAGAGCGCGAGGAGGCGTAAAGGGAGTCCCAGAATTGCGCACGGCCCCCGCCTCGACGCAGGGCGGGGGAGAAACGGTCGCGCAGTTTGAAATTAACACAGCCCCCGCCCCCGCCCCGGGGCCCCGACCGGCCCCCGGCCGCCGACAAGGCCAGGGGCCCCCCCCCCCCCCGCCCCGTTCTGGGGCCACTTGAAGGACCCCGATTCCGCCGCCCCATTCTTCCCGCGGCCCCCGCCCCCACTCCTGGCCTGCCCCCGCCCCCACCCGTGGGGAGGAAGGCCTTGCGGGTCCGCGTTTTGGCGCCAGCGCCGACGCCGGCGCGGCGGAGCCCCCGCCCAGCCCAGCCCAGCCCGAGCCTGCGCGGCCGCCGGGCCCTCCTCAGCTGCCGCCCGCAGCCGCCTTCCGCCCCACCCCTCCCCAGCCCTGTCCTCCTCTCCTGGGACCGCACCGCGGCCCGCGACGGTAAGTGGAGCCGCCGCCCCCACGCCTTCGGCGCGGCGGGGCCCGGGGGCGGTGGCCGAGCGCCCCTCCCGCCCCTCCCCCCGCCGGTTCCCGCCGCCCGGAGCCCCGCCCCTGACGTCATCGCCCCGCCCCGGCCGGCCGTCGGGCTCCGCCTCCGCGCTCCCCCTCCGTGCTCAGCAGCGACTGCAGCGGCGGCGGCGGCGGCCCCAGCAGCAGCAGCAGCAGCAGCGGTAGTAGCAGCAGCAGCAGCGGCAGCGGCGGCCCCGGGCAGCCCAGCCCGGCCCGGCCCGGCTCCGCGCAGCCGCCCCGCCCGCCCGCCCGCCGCGGCCCCGGGGCCCGTCTCGCCCGCCCGCTCGCTCGCTCGGAGGCAGCAGCAACAGCAGCGGCGGCGGCCGCGGGCAGGGCTCGCACTCACTCAGGCAGGCGGGCGGCGGCAGCAGCAGCAGCGGCCCGGACCCGGAGCGGCGGTGAAGTCGGTGCCTTTCTTGCTCTCCCCTCCCCTCCCCCCCCCCCCCAGCCGGGCCCCCGGGGCCGGGCGGGGGGCGCCCACATCGGGGCTGGACGGGCGCGCCGGGCGGGGACCCCCCGCGGGCCCGTCCCGTTAGCTGCGGCCGAGGTCGGCGCATCCGGCGCCAGGCCCGGCTCCCCGCGCGGCTGCGGGCCTTTGTTCCCGCCCCCGCTGGGGTCCTTGAGGCGGGAGCGGGGAGAGACCGCCGGGGGGTGGCGGGCGGCCCGGGAGGGAGCTGGGGGGCGGCCGGCGGTCCGCCCAGCAGCGCGGCGTGGCCTTGGACGGCGGCCTCCCTCTGGCCTTGGCCTGGGGAGCGTGGGCAGGGGGCGGCCGGGCGGCCACGTGAAGGCTGTGGCTGCGGGGTGGCCCCGGGAGCCCCGGGGGTCTGCTCGTTATCTGCCCGATCTCCAGATCGGGTCCGGTGGGATTACATTGGGAGCCCCGCTGCCCGCTCTCCCCGCCAGCCCCCGGGGGCTCCTCGCCCCGGGTGTCGGAGGAGCGCCAGGCTTCGTGGCTGCCCCCTCCCCACGAAGGTTGGCGAATGCTAGGGCTTAGGTGAGCATGCTGGTGGAGGCTTAGGTGTGTGCCACTGGCAACGTGCGCAGGAGCTCCAAGTGGGCTTCTCCATTGGATTCTGTCCAAACTCGCTTGTGTTGAGAGAGAGAGAGAGATGTGTGCTGCGTACGTGGGGGTTGGAATCAGGACCGAACTTGTATTCAACTAGCTTTTTCTCTCATGCAAACTTCCTTTTAACTGTCATGCGTTTTTCTAGTAAAAGCTCTTCAAGTCTGCAATAAAAAATGGCCTCCAATAAAACTACATTGGTAAGTTAATAAGCACCTAAAATATGTAAGGATTAACCCAAGTCTTACCCCCCCTCTTCCCCCCCAAAAATTATAACTTTGCATCTCTGTGGTTCATAAACACACATCCAGCTTTAGCCAAGTGTAAGAATTCGGACCTCATCCAGAGACCTTGAAGTTAGGAGAGAGGACATTAAAGTGACTTTGTAACAAGTCAAATAGATCTAGCGAGAAACTCATCTCGCACACGTAGGGGCTTTTTGTAGGGCAGGAAAGAGAAGTTCGAAGAAGCTACATAAAGCAACAGTTAACGTAGTATTTTCTGAGAAAATATCAGGGTTTCTTTAGCATCCTTTCTTGCTGTATTCATCCCATAGGATGCCGCCAGCCTGACAGAGGGCCTATGGAATTCCTCAGAGCCTTCTGATTGGCTGAAGCCACAATTGAAGCTTGGGTAATTGTTGCTCTAGGAACGTTTAGTTTAAAAGCCAGGTTATTCCTCAAGTTAATCTGGGGTAAAAGTTACTCTTTGAACCACTTCTGGTTTTTTTGTGTGTTTCTTAGAGCTTTGTGAGAGCCAGGGAGACTTTAAACTGCTGCTTGTCTCCCCAGGCTGTATCGGTTAGGTTGTAGTTTCCTTATAAGAAAGTTTTGGGAGACTTTGTGTATATTTCAAAAGAGCCTTTTCTACCAAGTACAGTGTTTTGCATCTGGCCATTTCATGATGCCTCATGTTGATTTCTGTACCAAAATGTACATAAAGTTGCATCTACTTAGACCCCTGGAACTTAATACTTGCCAAAAGCAAATCTTCATTTAGAATATTCATTGAAAATTCACATGAAAATCACGAAATTCAAAGTTATGGTTCCCACTGTATCGAGTTCTGTATTGTATTAGTAATCTTTTTAGGCCTAAAAGGTGAGTGTTCACACAGCTGAAACCACAGTGTCTGTTTTTGCTTTGTATACAGTCTTTGGATTTCACAGTAAAGAAAAGGGAGAAAATTGGTGATGAGTCGATGTGATGTTAGATTGTACATTTGAGCCAAATGCCAGGGAGAGTACGTCGCTAGCTAAAATACTAAGGCTGTCCATGAGGTTCCTGAGTGCTTGGGTGTCACTTAGAATGTTAAAGTGGCTCTGGGAGGAGGCCCGGATAATACCCCCTGCTTTTTTCCTTCTGATTTTTCCTTGGCTTTCTCAGCCACATCTCCATGTTTTTATTAGTTTGCATTGATTTCATCCTGTGGCCAAAGAAACCGAAGGGAAGAGTTACCTGTCCATGAGGTGGAGGATGGAGGGTTCTGGTGGTGAGTGGATGGGCAGGAGACAGTGAGAAGGTCCTGCTGCCATCCCTGTCAGTTGCTCTCAAGCAGAAAAGAGGTGTGCACACTGGTTCCTAAAACTTTGTGTGCCATCTTGCCTTGCTTTGTACCTAAGTGAACAAAGGTCTTCCCAAGAGGATCCCCAAATGGCAGCTTTGCATCATAAAAAATCGATGGGATTTTCAGAGAAATCCCCCAAACCCTAGAGGTGCCAGTTCAGACATTCTCCCCTTTTTTCTACAACTGAGTTGTGAAAGTGGGTTCATTTTCTTTGCCACATGGTAGAGAGGAGTGATCGGGGATTAGAGGGGGATGCCCCCACACTGAAAATTTCGTAGTTCAGTTTTCCGGAAGAGAACACTGAAAGAGTCCTCCAAACCAGCATCCCACCAGGGCATTGGGCGCCGGGCCTGCCGGCCAGCCTAGTCTCTGTGCCTTTACCTCTTCCTCTGGCTCCTTCCTCCTGGTTTCTGCTTCTGTTGTGTTTGACCTTTTGAACTTGAGTCTCTGCTCTTTTATCTTCATGGACAGTGGCTGTTTTGTCTTCTGTCGGGTCAGTGCTCCATTCTGATCAGCTTTTTGTCTTTTCCCAATTTCTCTATTTGCCCCCCAACTATTCCTCACTTTCCCTGTTGCTCATCTAGTGTTCAAAAGCAGAAAGCTCTTGGACCACGCTCCATCCACAGACTGCCAAAGTATTTATTTCCTCCTAGTGCTGATGATTTTACTCCCTGGGCATCTCCTTGGAAGTTTTAGTAAAACAAAATCATAAGTTTGATGTATTCTATTTCACATGGTGTAATAAATACATACGTATGTTTGTATCAATATTCAAAATACATACTCTTGGAATCGTGACACTCCTCACTTTTTTGTGCATTCACACTGTATTTGGGAGGTTGCCTTGAGCCACTGAGCAACTAGAGGCCATTGTCTTCCAGGAAAATATATACTAAGTGAATGCTTAACTAGGGAATCTGGGAGAATTGCTTCAGTGAGTAAAAAAAAAAAACTTCAGAAAAACATTGTTGCTTGAGGAAATAAAAGTATTGTCCATATGAATGTGGGCTCCTACCAGAGGCCTGGTGACATTACTGATGAGCTGGGCTACCATTTTAGAATTTGTTCTCTTAAGGGACAGAGAAATAGGAGCCCCCTTTTTTTTTTTTCCCTTTCACCTCCTTCACCTTCAAAATCATTTTGGCTTCTTAGCATGACAGCAGTATCAGTTTGTTTTAAGTGGTCCAAGATAGTCCAAGAATTTTGGCAATACTGTGTCTATCACCTTTTCACTTTATTGTTTGAGTTGGGGGGCAGGTAGGGGGAGGCACGTGTTGGCTGATATCTGGGGTGGCTCTAAGCTGAGCACGGTCCACTTTGTTTTCCTCTTGGAGACTTGTGGGTTGTATTTTAAGAGTGAGTTTTTAACTGTGTGTGCCTCATTCTTCCTGCTGAGCTGCAGTCCTCGTTCACACACTTGATTCAGTTACCAGCCATGTGACCGGCCATATATGTACATGTCCCTGGTTAACATCTGGTTTCTCAAACAGAAGGGGCATCTCTTTGCTCTGTTTGCATCCTGCTCTGACATTTTATTTGTTTTTGCTCCTTTTTGGGGCTCCGCACTTGGAAATGTGTTTACAATCCTAAGAATCCTCGAATTGCAGCAAAGGGTCAAGACAGCCAGGGAGTGGCTTCTTGTCTCCAGTGGGAGGAGGGGGGGGGCTGAGTGCAGGTGGTGGGCTCTTGGGTGCCCTGTCCTTCTGCCAAGGCGTCTCTGCTGGGGTAAATGAGGAGTGGCAAGTGGAGTCTGGGACAGCTGCCACATGTTAGGACTTAACCACCCATGACAGTTAAGTGAGAAGCAAGGAAACCCAAATTCTTGACATGGCTTCTTTTTTCCTTTTTTCTTTCCTTTTTTCTTTTTTTTAGCAAAAAATGGGAAAGAAACAGAATGGCAAGAGTAAGAAAGTTGAAGAAGCCGAGCCCGAGGAGTTTGTTGTGGAGAAAGTGTTGGACCGGCGAGTGGTGAACGGAAAAGTGGAATATTTCTTAAAATGGAAAGGCTTTACCGAGTAAGCAGCCCCTTTGCTGTCATAGCTGCCCCAATAAGCCTCTGTCGGGGGAGGGGGGGACTGTGGGGGTTGGAGGGCCTTGGGGCTCAGCAGCCCAGGACATGTCCCTGTGTGGCCCTGGGCAAGTGTCTTCAGCCCCCCTTGACTTCTGTCAACGACTGGCCTAAGGACTCTGCCACCCCCAGGTCTGGGATCCTAGGACTTCCTGACCTCTGCCTCCAATTTCAGGGTATATGTTTTGGTGTAAATTGAGGTTTTTAATCCAAGAACGATCAGCAAACACTGATACTCAGAAAACAGACAGAAACACAAGAAACTGGTGCCTAGGGAAGCCACATACATGTATCCAAGATAATCGGAGGGGGGGGCTTGGGAGGTTCTGGTCTCTAAGAAGATGAGGAAGGGCCTCAGGCAGGAGTTGACCTGTTAGTCCGGCTGTAAAGGCCGTTTGCGGTGTGCATCAGGAGCAGCGTTCAGTGCCATTGGATACGTCAACAGTATTGCCGTCTCTGTGCAGTGAGCATTGAATGTCTGTCCATCTGCCGTGTGGCTGGGAGGCTCCTTGAACCTCTGGTCCAGGAATGGGAAGTTGGGTTCTTTGTGCTCCAGCCACTGCCAGGGCCGTTGGTGCTGTGGTGTTTGGGCACGACAGTGAAGCCAGGCTTTATGTTAATTAATACCAGCTCTTTAAGTCTGGTTGCATTTTCCCAGGGCCAATGGTACCAAGTGCTCATCTTCAGATAACCTTCTAACAACACTTTACAAAGGTCTCGTTCGATCCTTGTGGAGGGTGTTACCCCCCTTTTAGAGATGAGGAGACTGAGTGTTCCACAGGGAAGTGACTTGGCCAAAGTCACCCTGCTAGTCAGCGCCAGTCGTTTGAACTCAAGTCTCCCTGACTTGTCCACTGAGCCTCGGTGCTAATAGGATGAATGTCCGAGTCGGGCATCTTTTCAGCCTGGCTTTCCAGCTCTCTCACTCTTCCACTTCGTCTTGGCTTAAACCTTTACACCGCGTCTAGGGCCTTGTGCACAACACAGGTATGGGTCAGGTGGTGTTTGTGTAGTTCCTTCTGGTGTGAAAGTGACTGCCCAGGTTTGAGCAGGACCCATCAGGCCAGGAGGACTGCTGGAGGGGCCTGGACCAGCAGCCAGGATCAGGGAGGCACTCGACACCCCCTGTGAGTGCTAGGGCCAGGAAGGAATTCAGAGGATAGGTACGTGGGTTGACATTGGAACTTTGTAGCTTCAGCCGTTGGAATCTACAGATGTGGGTGTGGCCAGAGCAGGGCTCATGCCACCCCAGGGGTCACAGGGCCCTCTAACCTAGCCTCCGTCTGCTTTCCACAGCGATCGCCCTCAGTTAAGTGACTGCCAGCAGTGAGTGCATCCTGAGGGCGGAGCAGACAAGGCTTGAACCTGGGCTTTGCCGACATTGCCTTCACAGGGCTGAGGAGGAAATCTGGCCACCTGGAGAGTTCCCAGAGCTGTTGCTCTGTTTCCTTTACTTGGCAACTTAACGGTGCCCACCTCCAGTAGAAAACCTCGGCTGCTTCCTTTCCTTGTCCTTTGACTTCCTCTACCAAGCTATTCCCAGTCCCATGAACATTAAGCACCGGCTATGTGCCCAGCACTGGGGATTCAAAGAAAGACACCACACAGTCCCTGCCCTCGGGGAGCTCACTACCTAATGAAGGGACACAACCAGTCAGCAGAGAGAAGGGACTAGAAGCTGGAGGGGCCAGGGAGAGCGTTCTAGGAATGAAGGACAGCCAGGAGGTTGCTGTCATCTGGCCTGTGAGGCAGAGGAAGGTGCCAGGTACGGAAGGGCTTTGAGAAGGGAGAATGAAATGGTCAGCCCTACACTCTGGGAAGATCAGTGCCAGCACAGTGAGAGATGAGCTGCCACCCAACCTTGGGGTGGCAGGGTCAGAGCAAAGAAGGCTGAACAAGACGGTAGAAGGCCAGGTCACCAGGCCTTGGCACCTGAAAGTCTGGGGGAGGGCTGGAGGATGACCCCTGGGGCCCAGGAGGATCATGGTACCCTCTACAGGAACAGGGTCAATGGAACACAGCTAAAGCTGGATTTAGTGGTGGGCAAACTGAATCATGGGAATAGGTGTCCCAGATGACTAGGAATGTTTCTGCCTTTCAGCCACTGTTGATCCTTGTCATTACAACTTGATTAGACGTAATCTGGTCCTGCTACCAACTCGAAAAGATTGGTATTAATTAGCAGACATAGACTCATCATCTGTACAGCCTGTGATCTGAATCTCTTTACTAAAGTGGCTAAGTCCTTGCAAAGTTGCCATTTCAGGGCTCTGATGTGAGCTGTTGCTTCTGCCCCCAGTGTTTGATTTCTCTGTCCTAAATGCAGGTAGGAGAGAGCTACTGTAATCAGTCTTCTGCTTGAATAAAGTCTTCTTTGTTAAAAGGAGCATTTCAGAGTCAGGAAGTGCGGGGTTAACGCAAACCCTGCTCCTCCCAGATGAGCTGGATGCTGGTTTCATGTTTCACAGAGAAGGGGAGAGGAAGCTGGGGTATATCAAGAGCCAAGAGTTTACCTCTGCCTGAATAACAGCATGAACTTAGAGGGCGCTGGAGGGTTTCCAGTACGCTGCCCATCGGGTCATTAGAATTAGACTATGGAAAGTGAGCCCTTTTGTTACCCTTTGGGGTGAGTAGGAACCAGGGCTCTGGGAAGGCTGACTCGTGGCCCTGGGTCAGATCTGCAGTCATAGGAACTTGGCCAGTCTTAACTGTCAGTTTACCAGAAAGCTGGGGATCTCAAGGTTGAGGAGGGGATGGGGGACTCTGGATGAGGTCAAGAGGCCTTGGGAGGAGCTTGAGCTGCAGAGAGAGGGAGGAAAAGGTGGTACCCGTTGCTTTGTCCTCAAATAACATGTTTCTTTCCGTTGTATGGCTTTGGGTGGTTTTCTGGGAATATTCTGGATTGTCCACAGCGTGGAATCCTCTCCTATGGAGTCTTTTTGGGTGTTTGGCCAGGACTGAACAGACAATTGTGGAATCGCTTCCCCTAGGAGACGGGTGCTGGGGAGTCAGGAGGAGGGGCCTGGCAGATAGGAAAGTGGGTCCAGGTTGAAGAAGGTGAGGGCTTACTGCCCTGAGGAACTTTGCCGGGGCGCTTTGAAGGAGAGCGACATTTTGTTCCGTGCTGAGGACGGTGAGAAGGGAGTGCAGCCGGAGTGTCCTGGGTCCCTGTTGTGACCCATCCAACGTGATGGTGAGAGGGACAGTGAAGGAGCTTCAATCACATAAAGAGCCATTGGAGAAGGGGCGGGGGCACCTTTTAGGGCCCCGGGAGATGATTGCCTTGTCTGATGTCGAAGGGCAGGTAGGTTCGAGCTTGATGCGTGCCCTGATAGTTCAGTCTGGGAAGGAGGTTCCTTGTAGAGGTGGCCCACTGTTGGTCGGTAACTGGTGTGTGTCCAGCAGTGGCTCCTTGTGGCTTCTGCCCACACCAGGCAGCCTTCCTCGGAGGGCCTGCCGTGCCCAGGCCACATCCATGGTTCTCAGAGGATCCCGGGGGCATAGGATAGGCAGAGGCATCCCCCTGCACATGATGATGGAGAGAGACACGGGTGCAGGCCGGCTCAGCCCAGAATTCCCCTGCCAAGGAGCCAGAGAAACTAAAGGGGTGACAGGCTTTGTGTTGTCTTTTCGTCTGTCTGCTCCACTGGAGGGGAGGGGCTGATTTGCTTTCCCTCCCTAAGTGGTTGTGAAACAGTATTGGGATCACAGACGTGACCAGTGTTCTCAGAAGGCCTGGCTGCCTCCTTATTCCTGGCTTCTCGTGGTACTAACCAATAGTCAGAGAGGGCTTTGAGCTTTGTACAAAGCAGATCACGCATGAGCTACTGTGGGCATTTAAAGTTGAGGAAACAGACCCAGCTAGAGAGTCGGTGGGTTTTCCTGCAGGTGAAAGGGCGTGTGGTCTAGTAAAGACAGCACCATGTCTGGAGCCAGAAGGCTGGAGTTCAAGATTGTGCTCAGATTCTGCGTCCTTTTTGAAAATGGGAAGTGTATGTGTGAGGAAACTGCCTTGTGAGCCTTTGTCATCCCTGGTGCTGGACCAGCCACGGATAACGGCTGGCCATCTCTCTCCGCTCGTTCGGCTCCTGTCCGGCGCTGGGGCCGTGCTTGCTCGTCTTCTTGGAAGCTCCTGCCTTGGTGTCACCAACACCCGTGTGGCGCCTCCATTGGTCTTGGTGGCTTTGTGTCCTGAGCCCCTCTGCCCTCCCTCCCCGGCTCCCAGGAGCCTGCTCTGTCCTGCTTTTCCTTCTGAGATCTCTCCCCGTCCCCTCCTCCAGTCACGAAGTCTTGTCACCGTGCCACAGCATCCTTCTCGCATCATCAGTTGAGATCACATTTGTGGGCACTTAGCACAGTACCTGGCACACCGCTCCCTGTCTGTTGGTGGGAAGTGCTTCCCCCCTGCCTGGACCCTCCATGGAAAGACTTGGAGCCCCATGAGGACCTCTGGAAACAGAGCATTCGTTGGCACCTGTCTTCCGCCATCCCTGTGTTCCATTGGATCCTGGGGAACCCCAGCTCTCTCGGGGCTGGGGAGGGGCGGGGAGAACAATTCCCCAAGTGGGGAGGAGCTGTGGGAGCCTCAGCGGGACGGTGCCCAGCGTGGGCTCCCAGGGAAACAGCAGAGGTGCTGGTGGAATGTCTGTGGAGGCTCCGTTCAGTGACAGCCCTCCTCCCCAGATTCCCTCGAAGCCTCCCTGTCTCCCGTGATCCACTCTGAATCGATCTGTATCCTCCAGAGCTCGCGGGACGTGGCAGTCGTTGGCATTCGTTGCTTCAGAGTCAACATAGAGCGCTTGTGACAAAGAGGGGAGGGGGGAAGTCTTGACTCTGAGCCCCCCAAGTAGTTAGAGAGCTGTGCCAGTGTCAGGCTCCCCTTAATTAAAGGATTTGTTTAGTGAAGTTTGGACTCAGTCAGCGGGCGGCCCCCGGAGGGCTGTGCGTGGACTCGGGGCAGCAGGTTCCTCATCCCAGGTCTGGATGCTGGGCTGTTGCTGCAGGTGAAGAGGGCAGACACCTTTGTGGAGTTGCTGAGGTCTTCCCCAGTGGAAGCGTTGACCGCTGCATTGGGCTGGGGCAGGGAGGGACACTGAGGGCTGGCCGTCTGCTGAGCCCCATCACCTTGGACCTTCCCAACAGTGCCGACAACACATGGGAACCCGAGGAAAACTTGGATTGTCCAGAGTTAATCGAAGCGTTTCTGAATTCTCAGAAGGCTGGTAAAGAAAAAGATGGAGCCAAGAGAAAGTCTTTGTCTGACAGTGAGTCAGATGACAGCAAGTCAAAGAAGAAGCGGGAGTCGGTGAGTATTCTAGAGCCCGAGGCGGCGGCACTGCCTGGGAGGGCACTTTCTGGGAAGGAATTTATGGAGGGTCTCCCAGTGGTCTAGAACGCTCTGAAACTGGCTGTTCCACTCGAGAGTCCTGTGTTAATGACCCCCTGGTGAGGCCGTGACTCTGCCCCTCACTCTTGGACAGCCTGCTTCCCAGCCCTTGCCTCCGTTCCCCTTCTGGGATCCATGCCAGCCCTAGTTGAATGATCCGAAGTCCCCCGAGCCCATCCCCGCCGAGAGACAAGACAACAGGGAACGCCCGGGAGCCCCTCTGGCCGAGCTGTTGCCTTTTGCTTGTGTTTCATTAAGTGTTGGGGCTCAGCTTTAGCTGTCCTTCGCCGAGCCTCTTGAAAGAATGAGATCAAGAGGAGGGCACGTGTGATAATTGTTTATCTTCCAAGAGGTGTCCTCTCACTGTATAGTATCAGTTCCACAAAAGCCCCTTCACCAGGGGAGCTTTTGCTTCCTGTCAGCACCAGAGCATCCTTGAACGGGCTAGTGCTTGAGGAAGTAAGTACTTTCACATCACAGGTGATGAACCAAAGGGTTTGGAGGACCCCAGAGCCAGACAGCGTTTTATGTAGTGAATTCACTGTACATCGTTAAAAGAAACAGGCTATTCTTAATATTGGCTGTCATTACCTTTGTCTTCTAATTTTTTAATTGCTCGGACAAATCTCAGAGCCCCCCCTCCCCCCAAGAAATTCCGCTCTGTGATGGGATTGGGAGGGGAGGCTTGATTGGATTATGTGAAAAGGCAATCTGAGATCTCAGCTGCTGTTAACAAAAAACAAAATCAAGGCGCTGGGTGTTCTGTGTTGAATTTCAGCCATCCACATGATTCGTATTAATTAACTGTTTAAGATTTCAGTCTTTTTAAATGACAGTTGAAGACTTGGTTTGGTTTTTGTTTTTTCAGTGCTGACTATAGATTCCCACTTGAGCCACTTGGATTTTCTGATGAGGTCGTTCATTGTAGCTTTTAGAGAGTTCTGTCCCCATTCCTGGGCTTTGTTGTCATCCTCTGTAAAATAAGAGATTTGGGGCGGATGTCCTAATAACTCTCCTCTTTAAAGCTGGCTAGTCAGATGTGCCAGTGTGGAGAGAGTCAGCTGACAGTACTCTTGTAACCTTTCACGACAGGCCGACAAGCCGCGGGGCTTTGCGCGGGGCCTTGATCCAGAGCGAATCATTGGTGCTACAGACAGCAGCGGAGAGCTGATGTTTCTCATGAAGTGGTAAGGACTGAGGTGGGAGGTGGTGGAAAGGGACATTTGCTAAAGTAAGTTTGTGGAGGCATCCAGGGAGAGCATCTCAGCTGGTTTTCCTGGTATAGCCGCAGGCCGTGAGGGAGGGGACAGTATGCTTGCTAGGCTGCATCTGTGCGTGTGTGAGCGCTCGGATTGTGGGACGCGTTTAGAAATAGTCTGGCCATCTCTCGGGAGATGTCATTGATTGTCCAGTTCAGTGCCTCCAGGCTGCCCAGGTGGAGATTTAAACACTGGGCCTGACCCTGCAGGAGGGGAGCGATTTGTTCTTCAGGAGGTGACTCAAGCAGGGCCTTAAAGGGATTGGTGAAGGGTTAACCGTAGACCGGGAAGAGGAGACAGTGTTACCAGTGGCCTGTGTGTGGTCGTCAGGAAGTGGCCAGAAAAAGGGTGGCTGTTGGGCAGTAGCAGAGGGAGGTGAGCTGCAGGTGCCCAGTGAGCTTTTTAGCTGTTTACGTTCAAGGCCTGAGGGTGAACTGTTCAAGAATATATTGTTTTCATCCAAATAAAAGCATCCTTGATGAAATTGATCTGTGTTTGAACATGTTTCATTTTTAGTGATAGGGGTTAACTTGTTAAAACCACAGCAAAAATTGTCCACCAGTATTCCTCGTTAACTTGTTGGAAGGCTGGAAAGGGTCATTGAGCAAACAGAATGAACACAAGGAGGGAAAGGTCCAGGGAGAGCGCCCTGTGAGGAGGGAGACACGCGGAGTTTCCAGCTCCCCTAGGCTAGTGTGTAAGCGTGAGAGCGATCTTCAGCCTTTGCCCACTGGACATTTACCCGGGATTGTCTCCTGGGCCATCCACTTCCCTGAAAACTGAAAAATAAAAGACTGCAGTATCAGACACAGTGAGCAGTGGCAGTCAAGCAAAGCGTGTTCTTGAGATGCACGATGTAGTGGATGGCGGGGGGGGGGGGGGGGGGGGGGGGCTGTTTTTGGGGGTGGTAAAAAAATGTAGCCTTCCTCAGAATACCTTGGAATCTGAAATGACTAAATTGTGAATGATAGACTTTGCACTGCAGCCAGAACCCCTCACATCTTAAAGACAAATCTCTCTCCACTTGAAAAATGAAAAGAAGGCTCTGACTTAGTGGGGGGCAGAGGCTGGCTGTAGCAGTACCCAAAACAACTGGGGAGGCATCAAGGCCCTTCCCTCTGAGCCAATGGCCCCATCCTAGAAATGGGAAAATTACTTTGTATTCTTCTACCCTGCAAAAAAAAAAAAAAAAAAGGTTTAGACCAATGACCTTTTTTTTTTTTTAAATAATTATGGGGCTTAATAAATTGACCGTCAGCATTTGGCTGGGTCTGTGAGCCCACTGATACGAGTTGCTACTTCCTGTGGTATGGATCAGAACCCACCTTTGCCTGCCCATCCTGTTCAACAACATGACATCACGTAGTGAGGTAGGGTTCGAGGGCGTTAGAACTTGAAATTAAAGGAAAGTTCTTAGATACCACATTTTCTTGGCAATCTTCTAATTTCATTCCATTGTCAAGATAAGGGTAATTGAGTCTACTGAGATTCGTTTAAAGAAAACAACAGGATGCAATAGGCAGTTGGCATGGGCTGTACGGCCGGCGAGTTTCCGGTTTGCTTCGCAACCTCAGCTCCATCGCATGCACCCTACCCCTGTTTGATCAGAAGCCTGATCATCCTTCTCTTCAGTCAGCACTTTTAAACTGTGTCAGCGTTCTGGTTGGTTTTGACCCAGCTTTTTCCACCCTCTCTGCAGGAAGGATTCCGACGAGGCCGATTTGGTGCTGGCCAAAGAAGCCAACATGAAGTGCCCTCAGATAGTCATCGCCTTCTATGAGGAGCGGCTGACCTGGCACTCCTGCCCGGAAGACGAGGCCCAGTAACCATCTGTGTCGCTTTTTTATAAATAGATATGCGTGTACACACACAGACAAACACACACACACACACACACACACACACACACACACACCCCCGTCTATCTATAGATTATAAAATCTGAATGTCGATGCCATCCCCTGATCTGTTAGCAGTGGGAGCGCCATCTCCATCTGATGAGAGCTGAGTTGGGGAGGTTTTAAGTAGGTTGTTGTTTTTGTTTGGTTTGTTTTCGTTTGGACTGGGTTTTATTTTGCGTCCGCAGCGCTGGTAACTGAACAAGTGAACACAAGCTTTCTGCATTTACTGAACGTTTAGCGCAGAAGAGAGCGTTTGATACTAGGGAATTCTTACCTTCCTCCACAGTAGAGAGAAACTTTTCTAAATACTCATTAATACCTTCTGTAGTCACTACTCTGAATCCTAGGAAGTGTTTAGCCCCCATGTATGCCTAAGGTTAGCTGTCCGAGAAACTGTTGTGTCCGTGTAGCGTTTTACATTCGCTTGAAGCCCACCTTGCTGATAAAAGCAGGATTTCACACCTGGAGGTGACGCCGTCGGAAGGTTGCTCGGAGCCCAAGCACCCCCCCTCCTCCCGCCTGGCAGAGAACTTGCTGCCTTCACTTTTCCAAACACTAACTGTTTTTGAACAGAGCAGAATGATTGTGTGGGCACTTTGCAGCCTTGCTGGAGTGTTCGTGGTAGTGTGGTGCTCGGTGTCTGGGCCCTGTTAAGGTGGTAGTGAGCATCCTCCCTGTGGGTGCAAAGGCAGCTCCAGGAACACACAGGAGAGGATGACTCCATGTTTGTTATCCAAAAGCCTGAGGGTCAGATCTGGCTGGACAGGACCCCCATCTGCCAGGGCTTGTGGTCAGCCTCCTCAGGGCCCCCCCGCACCCCCCGAGGGCCCAACATCTCCAGCGTTGACATTGCCCAATCCTAGGTTAGAAACATGCATGGGTAAATGCTGCAGGAACTTGTTTGAACATTTACCTGAAATGTTAAAATAGAACCATTTTGGCCTTGATTTTAAAAAAGAAAAACTTGGACTTCCTGCTTTGGAAAGTAGGGGTGTCCCATCTTATTTTCCTAGCCAAAGGATCCTCTCTCAATCATGTAGTAACATCCCCATCTTCTGGAGTGTAAATGTTCTGCCCAAAGGGCAGGCATTGGGGGGCGGTTGTGTTTTCCTAACTGTGGGCATAAATGGGGAAGCAGACGTGCCCATGTTATGTAGTTTTCTATCCTCTGGACGTGCATGTTTTTCCTTCTTTATCCCATCCCTCCAACACGTAGAACCAGCCTTTTGAGTATTTGGGTCACTTTGCTCCACAGGAGTCAGGCAAAAAAATAACTTTGTAGTCATTGGAATGTTATACAACTGTATATTGTTTACTTTATTGTAAATACTGGTGAACAGTGGTCAATAAATAGTTTTATATTCTTCCTTTACATGCAAAAGCTTTTTCTAAACTCCTCTCACACGAATGGGGCACTAGGTGTCGTGAATGTCTCGCCAGCGTTGCCAAATCATTCACCTTTAAAGTTATGGATTGTGTCTCTTTGAAGGATCAATGGAAGCCTTTTGTTTTTTATCAAGTGTTTCCTGATATACCTCCCACCGATATGAAATCCTCCTTTGTAGCAAAGAGAGCCGATCCAGTAAAACTGACGAGCAGTTTACAACAGCACCTGCAACGTTTGTGCACATAGGCTCCCACCAGCACCCCGGGAGATGAGTTATTGTCATTCACACGTTACTGCGGTCGAATCTACGCTGGTTCTGCTTCCTTCACTTCTCCGTCAGTTCATGCAGTCTTCCTGTATCTCTGAGTCACTGTTCATTTCCTCACAGTGGCCATACCAGAGAAATTTGGGCAAATTGTTAGCAACTTGGTATGCGTGACCCCTGAGAGCCTGAATGACCCCTCTGTGGGCCTCCACTTTTTCTATAAAATGAGGGGGTTAGATAAATCCTGTTCGTGTTCTCTAGGAGCACGATTGATCATTACGGTTAGCTTGAATTCTCTGACCCTACGTAGTGATCTTGGATGTCTTGTGTTACGTATTCTGCACATTTCTACATATTCATCTTACTCCCTTTTACTAGTTTTTGTCTTCCAATTACAGCTTATGGTTAAAACCTATAAAATACCTTTGGCTTGAGGCCCCTAAATTCTCTCTCTTGGGGAGGAGCTTGAAGGTGACAGGGGCTGGGGTGCTGGCAGGGTCTGCCCCAACACATCTGTTCCAGCACAGCTCAGTATTGCTCCCATCACAGAACTAGCATCTGATAGGTACCATATTCTAGACAGGACACCAGGACAGGCAGAGGAGGAACTGGGGAAGGAAGATGTGGCTGGTCAAGCCACCCTTCCTAATTCTGCCCCGTGTGATGAGCTCTCATTAAAGTGGTTCTAACAAAGGTAGCTACTGGGGAAATAAACGCTCGCTTTGGGTTCCTACGAAAAGGAACAAAGCTAGAAAGAAACGAGGGTGCCAAAGTTGGAAGTCTTAGATTCCGAGATAAAAATGTGGAAGTGAGCTCTGAAAGCTTTAATCTAATCCTCTCTTTTTTAAGAAATGTTGGCTTTTTGGATAGACTAGAGCACTGACCCTGAAGTCAGGAGAACCCGAGTTCAAATCCGGCCTCAGACACATATAAGCTGTGTGACCCTGGGCAAGTCACTTAACCCTGACTGCCTCCCCAGAAAAGTTGGTTTTTGTTCTTAACTGGAGATTTGCGACAGAAAGGCGTTTAGTAGAAGCTAACCACACAGGACCACCGTGACTGCACATGGGCCACTTCAGGGTCAGTAGTGCTCCTCATCTTGAGAGGAGGAAAGGGTGTGTGTGTGTGTGTGTGTGTGTGTGTGTGTGTGTGGTTCTCCAGCAGTGTGGAAAGTGAAGGCATTGTAGTAAAGAGCCCCGTTGTAATAACTTTTTCTGATCCAGGGCAGAGTCTTTCTAAAGCAAATCAAACAAGGTTATTCAGCGTTCTCCTAGAAGACCATATGGCCCAGACAGCCGTCTCAGCTGGAAGTTCCTTCTTGGTACCTTTTCAGGAAAAGCTGGTCTGGCCTACAGGGTGGATGTTGCCCCTGTATTCAGAGGAAATTCTTAGGGTGAAGAGGTGGTCCTCCAGCTCTTAATCTGAGTCTTACCCTCTTATCCTGGAGGATGCTTCTGCCCTATAGCCCTGCCCTTAGTGAATTTCTCCCTCCATTTTGAGGAAGTGGCTAGACCAGCCATACTTGTATTGGCATGACTTGACTTGCTCTTATGTGGGTACCTTTCCCCCACCATCCTTTTTTATCTTCCGTTTGTGCCCATAGGCTCCTCCCTATTATCTTCCCCGTTAGGAGTACAAGCTCTTTCAGGACAGGGACTTTGTTTTTTGCTTGTATGTTCATTGCCATTCCTTGGTACAGGGCCTGGCGGATAGTAAGCACTTAACAGGTACTAGACCCAAGTGAGTGTGGGCCCATGACTAAGACCTAGCCAGCCAGCTCATTCCACTTTTGGATAGCTTTTTTTTTTTTTAATACTTTATTTTTCCCAGTTATGTGTGAAAACAATTTTAACATTTTTTTTTCAGATCTTGAGTTTGAATAGCTGTCATAGCTTGGCACTGTCCAAGTTCTGCCGAGGCAGTGCACACCAAGTCCAAACCCTCTTCTTCATGATAGACAGCCTTGGGACACTTAATAAGATCATATATTTAGGCCTCAAAGGGAACTTGGAGGTCACTGAGTCCAACTCCTTTGTTTTACAGATGAGGCAGCTGAGGCTGGGAAGCTGTGACTTGCTCAGGGTCACAAAACTGGTATCTGAGGCAGGATTGGAACCAGGGCCCTGCTGACTCCAAGGCCAGAGCTCTGTCCAGTGTGTAATACTGGAAGAGAGTTCTCGTGCCTTCCCTCTGCCCCTCCACCCTGCCCTGGCCTTCTCTCATATCCCTCGATCTTTCATCCTCAAATGTTGTCATCACGAGGCCCTTTACCATGGTGATTACCTTCTTCTGGATGCTTTCCAAGTTATCAGTGTTCTAAATGCTGGGGCGCAGACCTGAAGGGAGCTGGAGACAATGGGAAGGATGCTGTGTTTGGGATCAGTGCAACTTTGCCTTCAAATCCTCGTTACCTTGAACACATGACCATTCTGGGCCAGTTGGACAAGATGCTGTGTGAGGCCCCTGCTGGCCTAAAGTCTGTGAACCTCCGCGGTCTTGAAGAGAATAATAGCGCAGCAAGACTCAGACTGAGAACAGGAAGACCATCTCCTAACCAGACACTTCCTCTGTAAAGAGGAGTGACATTTGCCCTGGAGCCTGGGCTAGATTTTCCTGAAAATATATAGAGGAACTTTCCAGCAAAGATAGTTGCCTTGACAGGAGACTAGCTCCCCCATGCCTACTAAACAAAAAACCCCCAGTTTGCACTAGACCAAATAACAAGAATCCGATGAGAATCATGCTACTTCTCCCACCCCAGAACTGCAGAAAAGTCAGCCCAAAGTTCAGGGGCAATAGACATGAAGGTGGCTGGTGTGATGAGCGAGCAGCCCTAGACACTTCCAGATAGGCCTGGACAAAGCTATATGCAAAGGCAGTTAAGAGTGGGTAGCTTTTAGGGAGCCTTGAAAGCCCCAGGAGCAAGCAGTGAGGTTCAGACAGCTGACCGCTACTGGTAGGAGCAGCACTGTACATGTTGACTTTCAGGTCTGCGTTGTGCGACATTCTTCTTGTAAGGCTGACTCCAGTGGTGCTGCTGATAAACAGCTCTCACTTTGAATGGACACCATGCCAAAGACAACATGGAAATTGTGTTTATTTTTGTTCTTGTTAAAACTCTATGATCAACAGTTATGGAGATACCACGTTCAATAGCTGGTATTCTCTGTGTACTACCTTAGAAAGAAAAAAAACAGAAGAAGAGACTTAAGGGGGGGGGAAATGGATTTTCCACAAGCACTCCATGAATACCTAGAAGAAATGAATGAGGCAAGAGGTAAAAATTAAAAGCTCTCGAGGTAAGAATTACAATAAGTAGAAAAGTGTAATAAATAGAAAAGATCACTAGCTCTGAAGTCAGGAGGACCTGAGGTCAAATCCAGCCTCAGACCACACACTTGACACTTACTAGCTTCATGACCATGGGCAAGTCACTTAACCCCAATTGCCTTAAAAAAAAAAAATGCTATAAATTTGCTATGTCCCAGCTTCCAGATTCTTTGGCATAGGGAAAGGAGTCCTGGGACCTAAGTCATGAATGAAATCAAGACTGTCCAAGAGGTAGAAGAAAGCAGCTTTGGGATTGCAAATTCCATGCTCAGTGGAGATTACCTTTCTTGTGAGAGGCTTGTGATTCAGACTCAGCTTGTGGACAAGTGAAGTACACGTTACCAGCGTGGAGGAGTGAGGAGTGTGACTCATTCACCCCAAAATGGTTAATTGGGTCAATCAATACATTTTTATTATGCCGATAAAAACTTAAGAAGATTTCCAGGAATACTACCAATTAAATAACTCAGAACCAATCATTAGGTGGTCATTAGGATGATGTACCTAATTAAATTAATTTGCTTTTATTTCATTTAATCTTTTTATCTCATAAAGAATGATCTTCAGAGGAGCCTCTCAACCTGGCACAGATGTATGAGACTACAAGATGGCAGCCTTCAATTAGCTTGTTTCTTAGAGGCCTAGAATAAAAGAGTCAAAATCTTTGTAAACTAAGTTGAAGGACAATGACATTCCAGAAAAGCCTTTGGGAACCCATCAGATTTGGGGATGAAAATGAGGCTCATTGCCTGTTTCATACCCATTGCTTGTTCTTGGAGAAGAGGCACTCAGATGATAACCAGCAAGCCAAGGACTCATGGAAGCTGCATTTGTGCCTATTTATGATCGTAGGAACTGAGTCCTGGGGTAGGCAGATGGTGTCTTGTCCTAGGAAATCTCATTTCTGATCACAAATCTGTGATAATATCCTGCCATTTCTGGGCAGCAAAAGTGGTCTAAGAATATTCTATTTTTTTCTTTGTCTCCACTTTTTTTTTTTTTTTTCCAGACCTGTGATTTCACCTGTATGGGAAACTCCATCTACCTATGTAGACTAGCCCCTCCTCTGCAGCTCTAGTTTTCAGAGCGTTGCCTCGAGCACTGAGTGTGATTCAAGGGTCCCACAACCAATATGTTTCAGAGGCAAATTTTAACTTTAGGGCCAGCTCTGTCAGCAATGACGTGTTGCTTGTCCCAAATTTCCTAGCATGTGAATGTAAAAAGTGGAAAAACATTAGAATAGCTGAGGTTCCCAGTTTTGTTCTGTTTCCCCACACCAAAAATGGGAACACACATAGGCAAGTGACAGCCCTTCCTGCACATTTGTTCAGAATTCCCTCCGGGTCTACAGTTGGCAGACTTTTACAAAGAACAGACTGCTTAACGAATT